TCGATTTCTGGGGTGTCATTGATGTCGACGCGACTGGATGAAAACGGTAGTAATGGCGCGCGATAGTATCCATGGAGAGGCTTGAAACCTTGATTGTTGTCGTTCAAAGTAAACTTGCTGGATGTATAGTGAAGCAAGGACGACAGCCTGGAACTCAAACAAATGGTGGTTAGGTTCCCGTAATGAACACTAAAAGAGCACCATTGTAAAGAGCCTGTAACCGCGCGTCGTCTGGTAACTTCAATGTTGGCATCAGTCAAGAAATTGATGGACATTGGGGTAGTTAAAGCTCTCCGCCATGGCCATGGCGTCATTGTCATTGTACATATCTTCGAGTGTGGTATCTTCAAATGTCAATTGAGGAGAGGTGGAGAGGAGGATGAATGGTGGGAGGATGACGAGTCACGAGAGTCGAGACGATGAGAGACCTTGGGTTGAGTTGGCTTGTTCTCGAAGGTTTTAGACCGTACGCAGGTTTGATTTGTTGTTTTGCGTTCCGAAAGGTACCCCCAAGAACCATGATGTGCCATGAAAACCGTGATGAAACGCGAGGAAACTAGCTGAACCACACTTTACGAAGGGGTCTGAACTGAAGCACACCTCGACGCCTCCATGTGTCGGTGGGCAGATGCTACTGGCCAGCAAAGCAAGGGACGGAAACGAAATGCAGAGTTTCAGTAAATACGCCCTCTCGAGTTCATCGACCTCAGCATAGAGAATTGATGACTTGGCGAGTTATGCGAACTGAGCGTTACCAATCCGACGAGTGTCGCCTCATGACGCGCTGTGGTTCAAGGTCGTGTACGCACATCGCATCCACCAGAACCGTCCGATCGACCGATCCCAAGCCCCAGGCACAGAGACACGTATCATCAACACCACTCCAAGCTCCTCGGAATTGCAAATATCAAAGCAAAAGGTCCATTCAAGTTTCAACCCAATTGGATGTGGGTGGTAGGGGCTTGACGAAACGGTAAATGCCTCCGCGAAACAAGGGTAACTCTTGCGACAAAAAGCAACCTCGCAAACTGGTGTGACATGGAAAAGATCGTTACCGACGAATGGAAATAAATACACATCTGCACCCTCGGGGTTGTCAGGAGATCACATCACATAACCACAAGGCACATAAAAGGGAAAGTATGCCAATGGCAACATACATGGGGCTCTTTAACGCGTACAGTAACTATTACAGTACATTTTCACGCGATTGGTAACTCGTTTCACGCAATTGGTAACTTAGCACAGGCGAATGATCACGCGAATGGTAACTAGATGAAACTCCCGCCGAAATGATACTGACTAAGAGGAATTTGTTAAATTGAAAGATTTCACGCACCGTTTAATCGATCTTGAACGATTCCCGCCGTGACTTTGAAGGATCGCGTTTGTTCAATTACCACGGACCAAATAGTTTCAGAGCCGTTTCATATCTATTTTAAGCTCGGAAATATAGTACTAACAAGTACAATTATATTTTTGCAAGCGTGATTGCATAATTGCAAAATGATGAAATTTTCCCGGAAAAGCGACAATAAATTTATTTAAATAAATGTTTAATTAGTGCAGAGTGGGATAATTTTGGAAGTGGGAAAATAATACACCCTTCCGAATGGCATGCCTTTATTGTAGAAATAACATTGAACGCCCTGTCGCAAGGAGTTTAGGGTTGATGCTCTCAAAATCATTTGCCATCCGAAAGGGGTATATATTTTTTGCCCCAGTTGTACGATAGAGTTAAGTAAAATCAGTTTTCCGCGAGCGCCAGAATATCAGCATTATATGAGAAACGGTTTTAACAACAGCAACTTTCACAAAATAGTCAGAATTTCGGAAAGTGTGTCAGAATTTCGGAAAGAGTGTCAGAATTTCGTGCTTCAGGACTCGTCAATTCAGTCTGGCGCGAGCGGGAAAAACCAGAATCAGGGTCAAGTTGGACGAGGGTTTCTTCTAGTTACCATTCGCGTGATGGCTTGCCAGTGTATAGTTACCAAACGCGTGAATCGAGTTACCAAACGCGTGAAAATTCATTGTTATGGTTACCGTACGTGTTATAAAGCCCCATGTATGTTACCATTCGCATTATTTCCCCACATAAAAGGTTCATATTATAGCACCCCTGCTTCCACGAGCCGTTGTTTGTGGGCCTGCTATATCTCTTGTCAGCCCTCCACTCGCCGCTTGCCTGTCGCTAGCGGCTGCACCCTCCTTGTTTCGCGAGTGCGTATTGCAATCAACATTAAGTGCTTCAGATACCTTTGGTAGTGTCGTTTCTTCCATCTGCATCTCCGTAGTGACTGTCTCGTCGAAAAACAATAGATATTCTTGCGAATAATAATATTTTGCGGGTCGGTTATCCAAGGATACTTCCAGTCCGGCCATGGCTTCGTCGGCAAAAGCAGGCGAAAGCTCAGCTAGCGATTCGACGGCAAAACCAGGCAATAGCAATCCTGCTTCCGTAAAGAATCGTGACTCGGGAGTGTCAGGATACGGAAAAAAACGGAAAATCGGCGGGAATTTTCTATGGGGAGCGACGACGGGGCTCATCACAGGCGTTCTTCTGCAGCCGTTCGATGTGATCCGCACGCATCTGCAGGGATCATCGTCACCGTCCGTTGGCAAGATGGCATCATCATCAGTAGCAGCTGGTGCAAAAGACGTGGGAGCTCGATCGCTAAAGTCGGCAGCGGTAGATGCTGTTATAGGCCTCACTGCAAGCGCTGCTACAACCGCAGCTACAGTCGCAGCTACAAACCCAGCTACAACCTCAGCTAGCACCGCCGCCGCCACTACAGCCGCCACTGCCGCCACCACCGCCGCGACCGCCGCCACTAGAAAAGCCCTAGCCGCAGCGGCAACTGCCCCGCCGCTACAGCCGAGCATGAGCCACGTGGTTCGGATGATTCTCCGGAAAGAGGGCGTGCGAGGGCTGTGGCGCGGCACGGGACCCACGTGCGTGCGGCTCGGGCTGGGCCTCGGGATGTTCTTTGCCACGTTGGATCCAGCCATGCACGCTCTCGCCGCCCTAGAGAATACCGTGGAGGAGAAGAGGAGGCGGCGGCGGAGACAGAAGGAGAGGGAGGAAGGCGGGGTGGAGGAGGAGGAGGAGGAGAAGGAGGGTGCGCTGGGTGGGGGTGGTGGAAAGGGTGGGGTTTCAGGCGCGGGTGTGGGTGCTGCGCAGTTCTCGTCGCGGGTTACGTTTATGGCGGCGGTGGTTTCGCGATCGCTGGCTGCTGCTGCGCTGTGCCCCGTTTCGGTGGTGAAGACCCGCATGGAGGTTAGTGGGAGTTGAATGGGGGAGGTGAGGGCTCTTGCTGCATTTAAACACCAACACTAGCATCTCTGGCTTTCACTGCCTGCTGCTGCTGCTGCTGTGCTGTGCCCCGTTTCGGTGGTGAAGACCCGCATGGAGGTTAGTGGGAGTTGAATGGGGGAGGTGAGGGCTCTTGCTGCATTTAAACACCAACACTAGCATCTCTGGCTTTCACTGCCTGCTGCTGCTGCTGCTGTGCTGTGCCCCGTTTCGGTGGTGAAGACCCGCATGGAGGTTAGTGGGAGGTGAATGGGGGAACAGCGAATGGGGTAGGTGAGGTGAGGGCTCTTGTTTCATCCTAGTGGTAACTCCAACACTAGCGGTATGATGCTCTTGCTTTCACTGGCTGCTGCTGCGCTGTGCCCCGTTTCGGTGGTGAAGACCCGCATGGAGGTTAGTGGGAGTTGAATGGGGGAACAGCGAATGGGGTAGGTGAGGTGAGGGCTCTTGTTTCATCCTAGTGGTAACTCCAACACTAGCGGTATGATGCTCTTGCTTTCACTGGCTGCTGCTGCGCTGTGCCCCGTTTCGGTGGTGAAGACCCGCATGGAGGTTAGTGGGAGAGGTGAATGGGGGAACAGCGAATGGGGTAGGTGGTGGTGATGGCTTTCGCTACACCTTAGAGGTATCCACCAACACCAGCGGCGTCATGCTCTTGCTTTCACTGCCTGCTGCGGCTGCTGCTGCGCTGTGCCCTGTGTCTGTGGTGAGTCGTGTTTTGAGTCGACTCAAAACACAACTGCGGCTGCTGCTGTTGCGCTGGGCCCTGTGTCTGTGGTGAATAATACCCGCATGGAGGTGAGGGGGGAGAGGGGTGAATGGGTGAGGAGAATGTGGTAGGTGATTGCTTGCGTTGCGTTACATCTTAAAGGTAAGGTAACCACCAACACCAGCGGCGTCATGCTCTTGCTTTCACTGCCTGCTGCTACCCTGTGCCCCGTGTTCGTGGTGAATACCCGCATGGAGGTGAGGGGAGGTGAATGGGGGAGGTGATGGCGCTTGCTGCATTCTCTTGAAACACCAACACTAGCATCTCTTGCTTTCACTGCCTGCTGCTGCCCTGTGCCTCGTGTTCGTGGTGAATACCCGCATGGAAGTGGGGGGGGAGGGGGGGAGGATGGGGAGGAATAAGTGTTGGAGAGGTGAGTCGGGGAGGTGAATGGGGGAGTTGTGCTGTCCACTCATTGTTGATCTGCCGCCCATGATTGTGAATTTGCCGCCCATGATTGTGAATCTGCCGCCCATGATTGTGAATTTGCCGCCCATGATTTGGATCTGCCGCCCGCTGACCATGGACCTGCCGCCCGATCATGCACCTGTGAACTGTTTTTTCCTGACTGGACGACTGGACAACGACCGGTGGTCTTGCACTGTGAGGAGAAACGGTACTTTTTGCAATGCGGAATCTTCTCCTGGCAATACGCATCTGTGATGCTCTTGCTCTGTGCTCCTGGTTGCTTCGTTGGAAAGCGGCAATTCGCTTTCCTCCTGGTTCCTCTAATTCCCACTACGGCGGTGTGTGCTCTCCGTCGTTCCTTCTTCTCCCACTTACCACTGTCCAGTTGCTTTTTGTGCACCCAGTGTCCCATCCCATACCATGGGGATTGAACACCCATGGGGGGGTTAAATCATAATGCTCTGCAACCGTTTGTGTTGTGTTGTTGTTATTCCACCCCCCTTTCTACAGTGCAGTTCTCTGCAGTGAGCGGAGAATCTTATAAAGGAACCGTCGGCGGATTGATGGCAATTGCCAGGTCAGAAGGGATCGCAGGTAAACACCTGTTTGTGTTTTTTTTGCAGTAAAAGCCTGGAATTATTAGCATATGTGTGATTGGAGGTAAAATTGAAAGATTCGACATCTTTACATTATGTTTTTTTTTTTTTTTTTCTGCATGATTTTTATTATTGGCTGTATGCAATGCAGGCTTATATCGAGGATTGGGAACCACTCTGCTAAGAGATGCGCCGTATTCTGGCATCTACCTTGTGCTCTATTCCCGCATGCGCTCCCTCATTCACGGTAATGTATGTTCTCAACCCTAGGGTAGGGCAGGTAGGGGATGTATGGAGCCAGCATGCACGGTGCTGTATGTAAGAGATGCGCCGTACTCTGCTCTGGCATCTACCTTGTGCTCTATTCCCGCACGCGCTCTCTCATTCACGGTAATGTATGTTCTCAACCAACCCTAGGGTAGGGCAGGTAGGGGATGCATGGAGCCTGCATGCACGGTGCTGTATGTGAGAGATGCGCCGTACTCTGCTCTGGCATTTACCTTGTGCTCTATTCCCGCATGCGCTCCCTCATCCATGGTAATGTATGTACCATTCCATGCATGCATGGACGTTCATGCGGTCTGTCACATGCCCACACATCACCACACATCACCACACATCACCACCACACATCACCCACGGATCGCCCACACATAGCCCCTAATCACATCGCACATTGTTGTGTTATCTCCTCCATACCTATAGCTCAGCCTAGAGAAGATTAGGACGAGTTACCTGCTGGATCCAGGTCGAAACTATCTCCGTATCTCCTCCATACCTACCCACCTCTATGGCCCCTCGCACACTCTCAATGCCTACAAGCATGCATCTCCTCACCTCATCATTCCCAACCAACCGCCACACTCCTGCCCCTATCCCCATATGCTCTTGCCCTTCCCTGCCTGCCTGCCTGCCTGCCTGCCTGCCTGCCTGCCTGCCTGCCTGCCTGCCTGCCTGCCTGCCTGCCTGCCTGCCTGCCTGCCTGCCTGCCTGCCCGCCTGCCCGCCTGCCCGCCTGCCTGCCTGCCTGCCCGCCTGCCCGCCTGCCTGCCTGCCCGCCTGCCCGCCCGCCCGCCTGCCTGCCTGCCTGCCTGCCTGCCTGCCTGCCTGCCTGCCTGCCTGCCTGCCTGCCTGCCTGCCTGCCTGCCTGCCTGCCTGCCTGCCTGCCTGCCTGTCTGCCTGCCTGCTTCCTTGCCTGCCTACCTTTCTGCTTGCGGATCAACAGATCGCATCTCTACTGACGATGGTCATGCCGCCCGCACAGCCTCTACCATGGCAGCAGGTGTGTTTATGGGTGGGGTGGGGTGGGGTGGGGTGTATGTGGGGTGGGGTGCCCTTTGGTGGGGTGGGATCCCTTCCCTTCCCTGTATCAACTCATAGGTCAGATCTCGCATCTCCACAGTCGATGGCATGCAGCGCGCACAGTATCACCATGGCAGCAGGTGTGTGTGGTGAAATGGGGTGGGGTGAGGTGGGGTGGGGTGGGGGGGTGGGTTCACCCCTGTGTCATCTCCGTAGTATCCACCATGGCAGCAGGTGCGTGATCAGTGACTAAGGGTGCCATGAATGAGCAATCAATGTGTTTCACAGTGTAACAGGTGTGCCATTTCTTTCAACTGACATCCACATGTCCCACTTCACGATTCACAGCTAACATCAGAACTCCTCGAGCGAGCGTGCACACATCACAATAATTGCATCATTACGATTCATACCTTAAACCCTAAACGCGAAACTCCCCGAGCGCGCACACATCACAAGGATTGCATCATCACGACTCATACCTTTCATTTCGTCATCCATGCCTTAGTGTGTTTCTGTCTTGTTCAATCGCAGCAATCCTTCATATTTTTCAGAAATTTCCAAAATAAGCTGGGTTTTTTTTTTTTTTTTTTTTTTTTTTTTTTTTTTTTTTTTTTTTTTTTTAAATTCCAAGCTTTCTGCCCTTGTGCTTTCCGCATTTGGATTTGTTGGCCTTTTGAGGCATCGATTTCTTTTCTCCACCCTTTGTCCCTCTGGCCCAGTTTTCCCATCGTGTCAGCACCCTGGTGTCACATTGCAAGCAGGTCTCATCTGAAATCTTTCTTCCTCCCTCCTTGCCTCCATATCCCCTCCCTGCTTTGCTTTGAACCAAATCACAGGAGCAGCAGCGGGGGCCCTCGCAACCATTCTGACCCACCCGCCTGACGTGGTGAGTGTTGTTCACTGAGCTTTGCACATTGAGCATTTTGCGATTGAAATCTCCACTCCCATTTTGCGAGCATTTTCACGCAGTGAGTACAGTTAAGACATGATGACAGCATGAGCACCTGAGTAGGCATGATGTGAACATTCCCTAGCGTGCATGCAATCTCCTCTTCCTGTCAGTGCATCTCTATCCAACCTGGTTCATCTGTTTTTTCCAATGAACCGATTCGGTTCATCTGTGCTCATTTGCTCCCCAAGCACCTGCTCTTCTCCTCGCATGTGTGTGTGTGTGTGTGTTTGCATCCCCTCTCGCCAGGTGCGAACCCATCTGCAGCTGGCCACTCTGCATGCGACAGCTGGCAAGCCGCTGACCATGCTCGGTGCCACGTCAGCCATTTACAAGGTAGGTTGGATAAACGAGGATGGTGAAATGAAATCGCTAAAATGTCTTGGAGGCGCCTCAGTAGCCGTTTCTTGTTTCGCGCTTTTGGCCCCTTCCATCCTTGAGAAAAAAAAAAAAAAAAAAAAAAAAAAAAAAAACGATTCCTCCATTGCCTCTGTTCTGTTCCATCCGTCCCCTCTCGCCCCCCTCCATGTCCCCCACCTCCTCTGTTTCCTCCCCCTCTCTCTTCCGCCCACCCACAGTCGCAGGGCCTTCCTGGTTTCTTCCGAGGGGTGGTGCCACGTGTGCTGAAGCGATCAATGCAGCAAGCACTCACATGGTGAGTGTACGTGTGGTCAGGTGACTTTTGAGATTGTTGACCATCAGATGATCAGGTTGACTTTTGAAGCAAACACTCACATGGTGAGTACTCGTGTGATCATCGTTGTCTGCCCTCGGCCTTCCTGCTCCATTGATTTGCTTCTCCTTGCCCCGTGATGTCTCCCCTCCCCCTCCCCCTCCCCCTCCCCCTCCCCCTCCCGTCCACCCCCCCCCCTCGATTTCCCTCCATTTATTATTATTATTATTATTATTATTATTATTATTATTATTATTGCTATTTTCAGATTGTTGTGATGACCATTGTTTCTTTGCCTCCCTTGGTGTTGCACGCAGGACTCTCTTTGAGCGCCTCTCGTCAGTTCTCTCTGGTAGGACGCTTTGGGACCGGAAAGATGCTGGGCCGGTGAGGAGAACAGGCGTATGATGTGGCATTTACTGCTCATAGTGGATAATGAACACAATGTGGGAACGATCTTGTAGAATGAATGTACTGGTTAATATTCTTTTGTTCTTTAGACGTTTTTTTCGTGTATCCAGATTTATAGCAGCCAATGCTCCATGATCCAAAAAAAGGGGCACCAAACCAACCCGAAGCACGATGTTTTGCGCGATTCCCATGTGTCGCGTCGCGTCACGATTCATTTCCGGAGGGGCACCATTCTGTTCATTTTCATCTCCCTCCCTCACTCCGCCCAGCACTCGGTCGACTTCCCCGCTCCGCCCCGCACTGGATTCCCCCAAACCACTCCGCACTCGACTCCCGCATTCTGCCCCGCACTCGACTCCCCCACTCCGCCCCGCATTGGACTCCCCCCCCTCTCCGCCCCGCACTCGAAAATCTCTTAGCAAGCACATTTACAGCACCTGCCATATTTGCACACATTTCCACTTTCGAAACCTTCGAGAACTTCTTGAAGTAGAAATTTGTCCTCTTGAATTAGGCAGCATGGCGGAAGGCGATTACCCTGAGTTGGGTCAATGGACCTCTGGCTGGTGCGGCTGTTTTGAAGATATGAATTCATGTAACTTTTTCTGTTTTTCGTGAGCACATAGAGCCTATTTTTTTTTGTGTTTTCGTAAAAATCAATAGCCTTTTCTATGCTTCGCCCTGCGTCCATGTTACAGGCTGTCTCGTCCTTTGGTGTCCCTGTCTAGCCGTTGGCCGAGTCTCTAACATCGTGGATGCTGGCAAAAAGGGTAAGCCTTTTCAATCCTCTTTTCTTTATTCAACCTATTATGCTCTATCGCGGCAAAAGAAAAGACGATGTACAACGAATATGCGAAGGCAATATGTGAGACGAAAATGCGAAGGCACTAGACGAAAATGCGTGATATTCGTGGTAATGGTAATATTAATAGTGCCGGTAGCAGTCACTAACGTTTCAGAAGGTTCAGAAGTTGACGTGGGGCTTCGGAGTAACACATTGTCACTGACCTGCCACGGGTATGATGCAGATGCAGGGATGTAAGAGAAAAATATTGATGTTTCTGACCCGGCACGAGTGACTCATGATACAGCGCTTCGTGTTCTGTGACTCTCAGACCCCTCTGTAAAAGAAGTTAAATTTTGAGACGTCTCAAAAGTGAAGCCTTAGCGGTATACATTGCAAAAATCTGAGTTCCCAAAAACATCCTGCAACCAACCCAAGAGAGTCTTTTGGGACACATTTCACAAAGATCCCCGGAGTGTCTTTCAGGAAGGCCTAGGTGACAGATCAGTATATAGTATATACTCGTTATTATCCTTTGACTCATCATGATACCGTGCTTCGTGTCCTGCAAATCTCAGACCCCTCTGTGTCCTGTGAATCGCAGACGCAAGTGATATCTGCGCCTTCTGGTGCATCGCCGAGTGCCTCTGCTGCAGCGGCTGTGTCGTAGCCACAGGTACTGTCTCCCACTCTCTCTTTGTTTTCTAGGTGACTTTCGAGTTTACTAGGTGAATTTCTTGTAGGCTTGATTGCCTTCTGGTGCATCGCCGAGTGCCTTTGCTGCAACGGCTGTGTCGTGGCCACAGGTACTCTCTCCTTCTCTCGTTTTTTGTTTTTTGTTTTTTTTTTTCACTTTAGACCAGGTGTATTTTTTTTGTAAACTCAACAGCCTTATGGTGCATCGCTGAGTGCCCTTGTTCCAGCGGCTGCATCGTGGCCACACACAGGTACTCTCTCCCATTCTCTCTCACTCTTTCCTCCCTCCCTCCCTCCCTCCCTCCCTCCCTCCCTCCCTCCCTCCCTCCCTCCCTCCCTCCCTCCCTCCCTCCATCCGTTCCCCCCCGCTCCCTCCCTCCCTCCACACTCAGAATACCGAGAAACGCTAAGGGCGAGGTACAACCTTCCGGCAAAGCCCTGTGGCGATTTCTGCCTGCACTGGTGCTGTGCGTTCTGCGCCATCTCCCAGGAGTACCGAGAACTTCAAAGCCGTGGCTGGGACCTGTCCATTGGTGAGTGTCCTGTGAGGGATAAATGCAACCTTCCAGGAAAGCCCTGTGGGGATCTCTGGATGCAATGAGCTCGGTCCCATTTCCGTCGGGTTACTATGAGCTCGATAGCCCTGGCTGGCTATGTGAGAGCCCACTTCATTGGTGAGTGTTTGTGTCTCTTTTGAGAGCTCGATAGCCCTGGCTGGCTATGTGAGAGCCCACTTCATTGGTGAGTGTTTGTGTCTCTTTTGAGAGCTCGATAGCCCTGGCTGGCTATCTGAGAGCCCACTTCATTGGTGAGTGTTTGTGTCTCTTTTGAGAGCTCGATAGCCCTGGCTGGCTATGTGAGAGCCCACTTCATTGGTGAGTGTTTGTGTCTCTTTTGAGAGCTCGATAGCCCTGGCTGGCTATGTGGGAGCCCACTTCATTGGTGAGTGTTTGTGTCTCTTTTGAGAGCTCGATAGCCCTGGCTGGCTATGTGAGAGCCCACTTCATTGGTGAGTGTTTGTGTCTCTTTTGAGAGCTCGATAGCCCTGGCTGGCTATGTGAGAGCCCACTTCCCCTGGGTGCTGCTTCCCCCGGGTGCTTCTTACAATTGGTGTTACTTCTATGTGTGCTGTGAGCTCACGAAACTTCATCACGGTTTGTTTTTTTGAGAATTTTCCAAGCTGATGAGTCTTTAATCGTTGCTGTCATTTGCCATGCAGGTGGCAGGCAGTCAGTTTTGATCTCCCTGTCAATTGTCGATTACATGACACACTGGAGGGGCCTTCTTTATCAAATAAAATCGTGTCTTGTGTGTGCCTATGTTTGGTGGTGTGCAGATTTCAGGGAAAACCAAAGTAAGACTCCTCCTCCTCAGCAGTTTATGGAGAAAACCCAACCGAGTGCGTCCCAGGACACTGCTGAAGAAGCAACTACAGGTGTTACATGAAGGCGATCGACTTTTTATGACAAATGGAAATAACTTTAGGTAAGGAGGACGAACTACTAAGTTTCTGTAGCAGAGTTCTTGCTGTGTGGGATGATGTTTCTAGTATGGTCTTAACAATACACTTACATGTAGATTAAGGTAAATGGGACCTTCTTATGCCATGTGTACAGCTTCTACAGTATTGTGTCAAACTGTATGTTTGTGTTATTTCTAGGCTATAGTGGGTTAGCCTACAAGGGGTACAATACTTTAGGGTTAGGTACTTGTACTCATGCATGCTACCTAGTCCACCATTCATTCCTGCTTATTCTAATATGGTATCAGAGCAGAATCGTTCCTAGGGCCCACCGAACGTTCCGCCCTGCCCTAACCGTAAAATTTTATTCCTACGCTGCCCCTGCAGCCGCGCTGCCCTTGCAGCCCGCGTGCTGCCCCTGCGACCGCGCTGCCCCTGCAGCCGTACTCGCCCCTGCGACCGTGCTGCCCCTGCAGCTGTACCTGCCCCTGCGACCGTGCTGCCCCTGCAGCCGTGCCTGCCCCTGCGACCGTGCTGCCCCTGCAGCCGTGCCTGCCCCTGTGGCCCGCGTGCTGCCCCTGCAGCCCGCGCGTTCGCCCCTGCAGCCCGTGGGCGCTGCCCCTGCAGCCCGCGCGCCGCCCTGCCGAGCCGAACGTCGCCCCTGCAGCCTGGGCGCCGCCCTGCCGAGCCGCGCCGCCCCTACAGCCCGCGCGCCGCCCTGCTGAGCTGCGCGTCGCCCCTGTAGCCCGTGGGCGCTGCCCCTGCAGCCCGCGCGCCGCCCTGCCGAGCCGCGCGTCGCCCCTGCAGCCCGTGGGCCGCGCGCAACCCAAATTCCTGCATTAAAAAAAAAAAAAAAAAAAAAAAAAAAAAAAAAAAAAAAAAAAAAACCACTATTGCTGCTGCTGCTACTACTACTGCCGCTACTACTCGTGCTACTGCTGCTGCTGATAGAGGTGCTGCTGGGAGTGCAGGAGGTGCTGCTAGTGCTGTAGGAGCTGGAGGTGCTGGACCTACTCCTGACCGTCACTGTCTGTCATGGCCACTTCCGCGGCAGTTGCTGCGGTCAGGGGTGGACAGCAGCGGGCACTGCTTCTCCCGGACAACCCCACCCCTCAGCAGCTTCGTGAGTGGGTTATTCAGCGAGGTCGTCCTGGTGGTGGAGGTTATCGTTTTGTTAAGACTGCTGCTCTAGGTGCTAGTGCGTCTCCTACCACAGGTCCTGCCTCAGCTGAGGTCTTGCACACTTTCACGCTTGACTCAGGCGCGTCACGTTGCTTCTTTCGTGATTGCACCACAGTCACACCACTCACAGCACCTGTCCCAGTCTCACTGGCTGACCCCTCTGGGGGCCCAGTAGTTGCGAGAGCCTCCACGGTCCTCCCTTGTCCAGCAGTCCCCTCCGGCTCTCTGTCAGGTCTCCACCTCCCCACGTTCTCGACGAACTTGGTGAGCAACGCTGCCATTCAGGATGTCTGGGTTGATACATTTATTCCTGGAGGGCAGCGTGTGGCGATCTGTACGTGCTCCCGGACTGGCCGTCACCTGGCTACGTTCACTCGACAGCTTGGGTCTAGTCTGTACACACTGACCACTGCGTATGCACAGGTGGCTGAGTCAGGTCAGGTGGCTGCGTCGAGTCGGGCGTCTGCGTTGGGGCAGTTCGCTGCGTCTTGCTCGTGCAGAGTACTCACGCACGAGACTCAGCGCTGGCACCACCGTCTTGGTCACCCCTCCCTGCAGCGTCTACGCAGTATGCACTCTCCACCTGGACGTGTGGGGCCCGGCCCCAGTCGGTGGGACGGACCTGGAGCGCTACTTCCTGCTGGTTGTTGACGACTACACACGCTACACCACAGTCTTCCCCTTGCGTCGCAAGGCGGACGTCAGCGGTGTTTTGATCCCCTGGATCCGTGCTACTCGTCTCTAGCTGCACGAGCGCTTTCAGCAGGACTTCCCAGTCCTGCGTCTGCACTAAGACAGGGGTGGTGAGTTCTCCTCTGGCGTCCTTGAGACGTTCTGCCAGGATGAGGGCATCCGCCAGTCGTTCACGCTTCCGGCCTCTCCGCAGCAAAATGGGATCGCTGAGCGTCGCATTGGCCTGATCATGGAGGTTGCTCGTACCTCCATGATCCATGCGGCTGCTCCCCATTTCCTGTGGCCGTTTGCGGTCCGATACGCCGCGCATCAGCTCAACCTCTGGCCCCGTGTCTCTGCTTCAGAGACCTCGCCCGCACTCCGTTGGACGGGACAGCCTGGTGATGCGTCGTCGTTTCGGGTCTGGGGCGCGCTCTCCCTTGTTCGCGATACCAAAGCGAGCAAGCTCTCTCCTCGCACTCTCCGCTGTGTCTTCCTGGGCTTCCCCACCGACGCTCCACCCTGGCAGTTCTACCACCCTGCCTCGCGTCGTGTTTTGTCCTCTCAGGACGTCACCTTCGACGAGTCGGTCTGTTACTACCGACTTCACCCACACGCGTCCC